GTTTACTTGAAACTTCGAAGGTGTACTTCGAAGTTTGATCAACATTTCGAATGCTCTCAGCCATGTTTTTTGTTCCAAACGAGCATTGCGAGACACATATGTTAAACAACCCTTGACACACACATAAGTTGTGACAGTTCGTGCTTGGAGATTGACAGCGTATACTTTTCTTTCACTAGGCGATTGTTTCGAGACGTTTTTGAACTTGCGCAAAACGCAGCCTGCGCAGGAGAGAACTTGCAGTCATTGTTTTGAGAGAGGGAGAAACGAAAGCAACCTTGTGAGAGAACCTTGTGAGAGTGAGGGACATTGAGAGAACCTTGAGAGAGGACCTACTGAGAGCAGACACCCTGAGAGAGGACATTGTGAGAGAACCTTGAGAGTCAGTGTTGTTCTTTGTTATATAGTTTGCACTGCTAAGATTGGGTATACAACTTATGTGGTTCAAGTCTGGCTGAAGTTCACACTCACCCATGTCATTCTTCAAGTCTTCAATGCATATACAGCATCGAATCACATATGTGATTTTCCTCTACGTCCTGCGCCTCTTTACTCAAGCACATGCAGTTGCATGCATTTTGAAGGAGATCTTACTCTGCAGTTAATAGTATTCAGTGAAGAACCGTGGTTACTGAGTTGTGTTTGCTGTTGACCCTTCAGTGGCCAAAATGGCCATATTGAAGCAACCTCGCTTTCGCCGATCCGCTGATCCTAGCATAGGAGTGACAGACTTGATGGAACCCTTGTCAAAGTACATGGAGGAGAAGGGTGACAGGAATTTGATCAAGCTGCTCCAACTTTCTCATGGAAAAGTGCGCCGGATATCACCTTCTTGTCAGGACATGCACCACTATTTCAACGCTATGCAAAGATTGCGCCGAACAGTATGTTGCCACCCAAGAAGAACAAGACTGCTATTGAAAGGTTGGACCAACAAATGAAGTGCAACTTCTCGAAACAAAGCACTTCAGACTATGTCGACCTGGTTGACAACATTGTGAGAACGGCTATATGAAACAGTATCGAGATTTGGCCAAAGATCCCCACGCAAAAGAAAGGACTTACAGAAGGGCTGACTCTGAGAGTCAGGAGGAAAAACTTGCGCAGTCGTCCATTCTTCAGCTGCTGTCACTTGCACTCATTTTATTTGCAGTCATTTGAATTGCAGTATGT